CCAGGGAAGCCCAAGAATACTGGAGTGGATAGCCTATCCCTTCTCCAGGGCATTTCCCGACCCAGGAATCGAGCAGGGGTCTCCTGCATTGCAGGCGGATTCTTTACCAGCTGAGCTACCAGGGAAGCCCTGGGGAGGTAAGCCAGTCAATAATCGCATGGGAGGCTTAGAGGGGGTTTGAGGGCTTCCCCTGGCAGAAGCCTCACCTGAGCATGTGCTCTAGACGCCCCTAGATGAGGAAATCACTTCTGGAGAAAGAGATTAGGCAATTATTTGTTAGAAAGTGTTTATGCCTTGTGGAAATCTGCCTCTACCAGTCCCCTACCTGGGGGCTTCCAAAGGCAACCTTTCAAATGTCTGAACACAGCTACAATAACCCTCCTAAATCTCCCCATTTGCCTCAAAATTCCAGAGTTGTTTAGCATCCACTTAATCTTCCTTTCCTTTCCCTCAGTTATACAGTTGTCTTTTTTCTTTTTGGCTGCACAGAAGCCTGTGGGATTTTAGTTGTTCCTCGGACCAGGGATTGAATCTGGGCCCTTGGCAGTGAGAGAGCCGAGTCCTAAGCACTGGACCACAAGGGAATTCCATCCTTTTTAATATTAACTTTCAGAGAATCCCTTTTCCAACTCTATATGCAGGCTACCTCCCTCCCCACACTAGCAGAACCATTTTAAAACATTTTTGGATTGGGACTTCCCTGGTGGTCTGGCGGTTAAGACACCCAAGTTCCAGAGCAGGGGGAACAGGTTCAATTCCTCGTCAAGGAACTAAGATCTCTGCATGCCATGCAGCTCAGCAAACAACAACAACAAAAAACCTTGGGATCACAACCTCCTACTGTGCAGGGTCTGTGTTCAGGAAGTTGATGCTCTGATCTGAGGATTAAATAGACATCTAGAGCACAGGCTCTGAAATCAGACCAGGGTTCAAATCTGGGCTCTGCCACTTACTAGCTCAGGTAAGCTAAGCCTTTCTGAATTCAGTTTCTTCATCTGTAAATTGGGACTAAAAGCATTTACTAGTTGGCATTATGGTGAATGTGAAATGAGATAAGGCAGGTAGAACAGCTCCTGACAACATCATTCAGCTCCTAAGTGGCCACTATAACCACATTTCTAGTATTTGGGGCTGTAGGGAGTGCTGTGGGCAAGAGTAAGGTGAAAGGGCAGAGGAGAAAAGAAGACTTTGTGGAGTTAGCTAGCCAACCAACACAAATCCCAGCACAAAATCCAACAAATGAGTACCGCGTTGCAACCCCATTTCCAGGGGTGTCTCTGACTACCTCCACATTCCCCCCACCCACCTACACACACACACACACACACACACACACACACACACACACAAGAGTACAGGAGCAGGCCTTGACAACTCTTTGAAACTCAGAGGGTTTAAAATTTAAATGTCTTTGAGGGCAAGAGAAACACACCAAAACAAACACACCTCCGCGCAGCAGAGAAAGGGAAACTTGGCAGAGGCCCCAGAACTTTCCTCACCCCCAGCCCTCCCTAAACTTCCTCTTGTGGTTTCTCAAGAGTACAACCTGTTCTCAAGCAAAAGAACGGCGCCTGGGGCAGCGGGCTGGGGCATGCCAAGGCTTCCATCACACCCCACCCTACAGGAGGAGGAGGGGGTGTGTGTGCACAGGAGCGGCCTGGAGGTCCACACAGTTCTGATCTTCACATCCTGCTTACCTGTGATGGAGGTGTGACCACCCTCTACCCTCAACTCCCAGCATCAACACCCCCCACCCCCTCCGCCCAGCCCCAGACACTAGAGCTAGTCTGACTGCAGGCAGAGAGGGACAGCCTCTGGGCCTCCCCAGATCTGTGTAGAGGTCTCATGTGAGAAATCTAGTTTCAGAAAGATAACAGAAAAACAGCAGGAATCCATGGACCCTCTGCCCTGTGGCCTGGCTGGCATCATAGGCAAGTTCCATTCCACCTAGAGGGATGCATCTCAGATGTGCAGATGCAGTTTTAGGACACAGCTTTGGGATGCAGCAGCTGTAAGAAAGGTGCACATCTTAAGATTGCTTAAGGTCACTCCCTGACCATCTTCCTGACTCAGCTACCAAGTTAGGGTCCAAAACATGAAGGTTTCTGCTCTTCTTAAAGATTCCCAACAAAAGAAGTGTCTTGGTTTCCCATCTCTCTAGATTCTGGCACATCACCTCCATGCATCTTTCCTGCACCAAACTGGTTTATTCCTCTTTGTGAGTGAGGCTTACTCAGGAGAACACACACACACACACACACACACACACACACACACAGGGTCATTAGGAAGGGATACAAGCTCTGTGTAGTCCCCACAACTCTGATCCAGGCCTGCTTGGGCTCCCTGTAAACGGCACCTGCACCCACACTCAGCTAACAAAGTGCTCTCCTCTGCATCATTTGAGATACAGGACCACAGACACCCTTTTGGAAATTCCTAAGCCCCTGGCTTAAGGGCACATTCCATGTGGTCAGTCAAGAAGGTGGACTAGCCCAGTGGTTAAGAACAGGGCCTCCCAAGTCAAGTAACTTGGGTTTAAATCCCAACCCTGTCCTCTTTGGAAAAATTGTCTCCTCCTTGCCTGAATTTCCTCATCTGTAAGACGGCATATCCCATGAACAGAGGCACCTGATGGGCTACAGTCCTTGGGATCGCAAAAAAGTTGGATATGACTTAGCAAGTAAACAACAAAAATGGAGATAATACTAGTGTTCACTTTACAGGACTGTTGGGAGGATTAAAGGAGACATTACACCTAAAACATCTAGAAGAGTAGCTGGCATGCTATATAAGCCTTAGCTAGTATTCTGAACCCTTGAGGAAAGGAAATGGGAAAGAGAAGGCACTTGGGACCGTGGAGGTCATGGTCTCAAACACTGGGCAGAGACTGGGATCTTGGCGGAATCCTCAGAGATGCTTCTGATCCTAAATTCCAGGGGAGTAGAAGTTCTGACTTGTTTGCCATTATGTCCCCACTATTTAGCCCATGCAGATAGTGTGGGCTCAGCAGACAGCTGAATGAATTCATAAATTGTTGAGTCAGCCATCTCTCAAAATGCAGAAGCAGCAGCAGGAAAACAATGGCAGATCCACTTCTTTTCACTTACATCTAGTGCCAAGGAGAACTGAGCTGGGGGCTTAGATTTGTTACAGGAAACAGTCTTAGCATCCAGGGATGGGGAGTGGGTACCCCAACATTGTGTGGACTCTTATATCACCCCTAGGGTGGACTCCCTGCTGCACCTACTTGGGAATTTCTGGGGTCCTGGGAACCAGCCCAGAAACATGCCTTTCCCAGAACCCATCCTGTTCATTCCTATCTCTTCTTCGTATCTAGACAGCAGGGTTAAAGACAGCAGCAATTGTTTCTGTGTCCCCATTGTTTCCCAATGCCCAACACCTCAGTCAGGGTTCAGTCCAGCTCTGTAGAATGAGTAAGTTGCCCACAAAGACCCCACCACTTTTCTACCTGCTGACTTTCCATCATTGAGAACCCAACTTAAATGTCCTCTTCACTCTGAAGCCTTCCCAGCCACCCCAACTTGGCACCTTGTCTCTGCTGTTCTATGACTCAGGCGAGACAATAACCCCATTGTACCCTCAGCATCCCAGCCAAATCCCAGACACACAGTAGGTGCTCAATCAATCGTTTGCAGATGAATACATTAAGGCTCCCTCAGTAACAGCAACCAGTGTCTTCAGTTATTCCTCTTGTTGACACATTAAAAGACACAGAAGAGGCTAGAGCCATCTCTTGTGGGTAGATGCCATCTACCCATCAGACACCAGAGAGACCACCACTGCGAGACCCCTCTTTCTGGTCCTGTCCTCCAGCCTGCTCCCCCAGCCCTGGATGGCAGGAGGACCCCCAAGGCTCCCTGCCCACCCTAGTTCTGCCCTCCCTCCGCCTCCCAGCCCATCTCTGAAGTATGCAAAACGACGACAGACAGCCCAGTGAGGTCACTGGGCTTCCAGTTCAGCTTGGAGGGGGATTGTGGGACACAGAGAAAGCGGAGAGCTTTGGGGGGGCTTCTCTGTCCTTCAGCCACGTGCAACTCAGACAGAAAGTGAGTTGAGCTTTGAGAGACAACCGGGAGGTGATGAGACGCGGTGACCTCTTTAACCACCACCCCCCAACCCCGATCCCCCGCCAGTCTCAGCTTGGCGGTTCCAGGAAAGCGCGGTGTCGATGACACCCATCTACCTTGGTTTCTCCAGCCCTCAAGCCTACCTTCTCCGCAGGTGAGCCCCCCGGGCACGGACCGTGGCCGCACACACTCTCTGCCGCCGCCTCTGGCTTCTGTCTCTGAGGAGGTGTGTGTGTGTGTCGCGGGTGGGGGGCGGGGGGGTCGCCACCTCCAGCCTCGGGGAGGGGCGTGCACCCCTCCCCCAGGCGCCCAAACAGAACCAGCCTCCGCCGCCGCAGACGCGGCGTGTTTACAAAGTCGGCGCCTCGCCGCCAATCCCGAGTTTAAAGCTGGGCAGGAAGTGGGGAAGAGGGGGCGGGGGAGACAAAGGGGCCGGGTACTCCGCTCAGCGAAGGTTTGGGCCCCGACTCCTCCCGGCGGTCGCCCGGCGCCGCGACCCTACACAAAACAGGGTTTCCTGCTCAGGAGAATCACCTGGAGACTTAAGAATACAGATTCCCAGGCCCCTCTCCTAGAAAGCAAATCATGTGGACCCAGCGGGACCCCACACAACCATCCAGGCAAGTTCGGAGCGTCCCAGGGATGTGCTTTTCATGAAAAAGCAATTTCACTTCAAAACAGGTGTGAAACCGTGGGCTTATTTTCCGGGGCAAACTTCCGGGGCTCACTGAACCCACCGCTCACAAAGGGTCACGTGAGCCGGGGTGGGGGGGGGGGTCACCCTGCGGACCTCGCAGAGCCTCGGAAAGCTCCTCGGAAAGCTCCGCGGGGCGCGCGCCGCCCCGCCCCCTGACTCCCGCCCCGCCCCGCTCCTTGACTACAAGTCCCGTCGTGCCCCGCACTCGCGCACATTACGGCAGGGCAAGATGGCCGACGCGGCGGCCACTGCCGGGGCTGCGGGCTCCGGAACGGTAAGGGCGGGAGGCAGGCGCGGGGCCGGAGCCGAGACAGTTGGGGCATTCGGCAACTTTCCCTCTACCGGGCTATGAGCCCATACCCAGAAATCCAGCCCCACCCTGAGCCCTGCGTGGAGGAGGGTCTTTCAAGACGTACATGACTAACCCCCCCGCCCCCGCCATTCTCGAGACTTGGCGGCGGCCTCCGGAGTCGGTGGACCTGTGTACTGATTGGCCTATTCTTTGTTGGGTGGGAGGGGATTGGGAACCCGGAACAGCTCCTGATTGGTCCAGCGAGGCCGCTTTCGCCTTCTTATTGGCCCGCTAAAGTTGGGAGGGATTCCCATTTCAAAATAATTTAGGTTTCCTACTTTTTCCTGTCCTCTTCTCAGCATCATGTGTTGTTTGTTGCTTTTACTCTCCTCGTTAGTGAAATGGTGTGGAGATGGGAAGAACGAGAGAGAGAGAGAGATCACTTTTTTCCTGGGTGATGGACACGAGTTCCAATCCCATCATGCGTGTTTCTTCAGCTATATATTCTGAAAATCTGCTAAAATAGAAAAAACAGCCGCTTTGTGTTACTGGAATTGTTAAGTGTTAGGTAGGCAGAAAGGCTGTCTCCGAATTTAGAGCCCCTAGGATGCTCAGTTACTCTTCATTTGGCCAAGAGCTATAAATCCAAAGTACCGATAAGTATTTAGCAAAAGAACCTTTGATTGCCAGTGACAGTATGTGAGCTCTGTAATTGCACCACTGTCCAGTGAATAAAAATGTTCTCTCTCTCTGGGCTGCTGATTCACAGAGATCAGGAAGTAAACAGTCCACTAACCCTGCTGATAACTACCATCTGGCCCGGAGGCGAACCCTGCAAGTGGTTGTGAGCTCCCTGCTGACAGAGGCAGGGTTTGAGAGTGCTGAGAAAGCATCTGTGGAAACACTGACAGAGATGCTGCAGAGCTGTAAGTACCTGGAAACAAAAAACAATAAACCCTCTTCCAGTCAAACAAACATCTGTTCTGTGTTCTGCATCATGATAGTGTTGAAAATGTTTAAGAAAAGGAAGGACATTGTTAAGTGACTAACAGGCTTTAGAACAAGATAGACCTTATTAGGTCTAGGTGTAAGGATAGGTATAAGTTCTCACTCTGCCACTTAATAGCTTGGGTCAACCACTAAACTTCCTGGAGTTTTGAGTATAAGTGAGATATATATGTAAAACAGTCAAAGCTGAAAATGTAAGCCCTTAATGACTTGTAGGTGGTGTTATTATTACTGTTTGTTCTCTATGCTCAAAGAATTTACACTTTTATTGGAGAGTCAGGATTAAGTCCCATGAAATAGATGCCACACGTTATATAGTCAAATGCTATATTATGTGATAGAAAGAGTGAGGGTGAATAAGTTTTAGAAAATGGCGGGGGGGAACCACCACTGCTTTTAAAAGGAAGTATCTTGAGATTTTGGAGCCTGGAATGGTCTCACATAGGCTTGTGCCTAGTCAATGTATTTCCCTCTTTGGGCCTTGGTTAGGGAAGGGAAGGATGAGATGAGGGATGAGGCATTAAGGTGTTTTGGGAGGAATCAGCCCTGTGAATGGAAGTGAGAGAAAGGTTTAGGCAGAGAGGGAAAAGTTCAAACAAAGAATTGGCCAGCTTAGCAGGGAGCCCTGGAGCAATTATTGCCCATCAGAGTATCTGACATCAGGCCCCCAAAGCCCTGCCTTTGTAGTCTTGATCAGTCATGGATGTGGGCTGCCCCAGGAAGGGTGTGATCTGGGGTGAGATGACTCTCTGCAGCTGATGTTTGGGACTTCAAAATACCAAATGTTTTCCTTAAGCAGCTATCTCAGACACCTCTAGATTCTTAAATATTGAGGGTCCTAAGGAATTTTGTATACATGGGGTTTTTTTTTTTTCCTTAATATTCTCCTTTTTAAAAAAAAATTAAACCGTTTTGGGGGGAACTGCTCTAGGTCTTTGTTGCTGTGTGCAGGCTTCCTCCAGATGCAGTGAGCAGGGCCTACTCCAGTTGCAGTGCACAGGCTTCTCGTTGCAGTGGCTTCCCTTGTTGCAGAGCACAGGCCCTAGGGTGCATGGGCTTCAGTAGTTGCAGAGCGTGCACTCGGGGGCTGTGGTAGGTGGACTTACTTGCCCTGCGGCATTTGAAATCTTCCTAGACCAGGGATCGAACTTGTATCCCCTGCATTGGCAGGTGGATTCTTAACCACTGGACCACCAGGGAAATCTCAACATGGGCTTTATATGGAGAGATTTTTGCCACAATAGAAAATGAAATTGAGAACATCTTAAAACATAGGGATGCACACGGACACATTCCATTAGCCAGATGTCATCACAGGTGACAGCTTCTGGAAACCATGACAGAGAATAAGAGTAGAAAAAGGCAAAGAACGTCTCACTTTATCATGGAAATGCTTTTGACCTTTGAACTTGTCCGCAGACCTTTTGTGTTTGTGTAAAATGAAGCACACAGTTTCAGAATTTTCCTGAAGCTGCTCACCCACCTCTGAAGCCTGTTCATGGAGCCCGGCTTCCTGTTTCCCCTTTCCCCTGAGGGACCCCAGAGCGACTGAAAAGAGGTTCAGCTTCAGGTGAAGAAAAAACACCTGACACCCAAATCATAAGACCTTTTTTGTGTGTGTGTGGCACAACATACATAGCATAAATTTACTATTTTAATTTTCAAGTGTTAAATTCAGTAGTGTTAAATATAGTCACAGTGGTGTCAACCATCAGCACTATCCGTTTTCAGAACTTTACTTTTTCATTGTTCTGAACAGTAACTCTGTATCCATCAACAGTAGCCCCTCATCCCTCCTTCCTCCCAGCTCCTGGTAACCTCTAATCTAATTTTTGTCTCTATGGGTTTTCTTTTTTTCTATCTACCTCTTGTAAGTGGAATCTTAAAATGTTTGACGGGTTGGCTTATTTCACTTAGCGTGATGTTTTCAGAGTTCATTCATGGGCTTCTCTGGTGGTCCAGTGGTTAAGAATCTGCCTTGCAATGCAGGGGACACGGGTACAATCCCTGGTTCAAGAAGATGCCACATACCATGGGGCAGCTAAGGCCGTGAGCCCTATAGCACATGCTCCCCAATAAGAGAAGCCCCCGCAGTGAGGCGCCCGCGCTCCACAAGGAAGAGCAGCCCCCACTCCCCGCAACTAGAGAAAGCCTGCGCATAGCAACCAAGACCTAGCGAGGCCAAAAATTTAAAAATTAATATGTAAATATTTTATAAAAACACAGGAAACCTAGATGGGAGTTTGGAGGAGAATAGATACATGTATATTATGACAAGTCCCTTTGCTGTCTACCTGAAGCTTTCAGAATATTGTTAATTGTTTTGGCTATACTCCAATATAAAATATAAAGTTAAGAAGACAACCAAAACATCCATTCATGTTGTATCTTATATATATATTATGACAAGTCCCTTTGCTGTCTACCTGAAGCTTTCAGAATATTGTTAATTGTTTTGGCTATACTCCAATATAAAATATAAAGTTAAGAAAACAACCAAAACATCCATTCATGTTGTATCTTATATCAGAACATCATTCCTTTTGAAGGCTGGGTAATATTCCATTATAGGTGTAGACCACATTTTCTGGATCCATTCCTCTGTGGATGGGCATTGGGTTGTTTCTACCTTTTGGCGACTGTGAATAGTGCTGCTGTGAACAGGCACACACAAGTATCTGTTTGAGTCCCTGTTTTCCTTTCACTTGGGTATATACCTAGGAGTGGAATTGCTGGCTCATATGATCGTTCTGTGTTTAACTGTTCGGGAATTGAGAACACGACTTTCTGCTCTTGATCCTTCCTTAGACATTTCAGAAATCGGAAGGAGTGCCAAGTCTTACTGTGAGCACACAGCCAGGACCCAGCCCACACTGTCAGATATTGTGGTCACCCTTGTCGAGATGGGTGAGTACGTCTCCAGTTACCATTTCTTCAGAGCGGCTGAGTTGGGAACATGAGAGAGAGGCGTCCCCAGGAGGCAGCCCGGTCTGCTGAATGTCCTTGAATCTCCTCTTGAGTCTCCTGCTTTGCCTTCAACCTGACAGTTATCAAAAGAGGGTTCCTCTGAAGCCCTGTAAGAGACCTCTTAACTCCTTTGGGGGACTCTGTTGGAGCGTCCTTTGAGTGGCAGCAAAGTCGGGAGTTTAAACTATTTCACCACAGCATGACTTCCCCTTCCGTGTTTAGGGGCCTAGGCAGTGATTTTTGTTTTCCTGTTTCTTAGGTTTCAATGTGGACACTCTCCCTGCATATGCAAAACGGTCTCAGAGGATGGTCATCACCGCCCGTAAGTGACTGTGAACTGAGGTATACAGTAGTGCTCAATTAATGCTGGTGGAGTGAATTGATTGAATAGGGCAGTGACTGGTATGTAGCTTCTGCCTCACTGCAGGTTCCTTTCCATTATTTGGGGCTACCTACAGTGTTATCTTTATTTGGGCCAATTGAATTAGGTTGTGAAATTCACTCACCACAAAGGCAAACCATCTCGATGCTACCAGAAAAATATGAGAGTTTTTATTCCTGCTTAGATCAAGAGTCAGTAAACTATGGATACTGTGGCCCACCACCTATTTTTGTAAATAAACCTTTGTTGGTACACGGCCACATTTACGTATTACCTATGGTTGCTTTCTTGCTATAATGGCAGGGTTTAGTAGTTGTGACAGACTGCATGGCTTGTGAAACCTAAAATACTTACTTTTTGTCCCTTTATACAAAAAGTTTGATGATCTCTGCCTTAGATACACTGAGCACCATAAACTGAGTTGGAGAAACTCATTTGGGCTTATGGAACCTGGCAAGAATTCACTAGTTTGGTTTTTTTTTTCATCACTCTCTTCTGGCTGGCATCTTTTTAAGAATACCTCTCAAGGCAGCAGTGGAAGGTGCCGTTTTTAATCCCCTCCTCACTTAACTTTCCCTGGCTCAATGTTTGTCTTTGTTACCTGGGTTCTTGAAAAGAACGAGCAGCCCACCTAACTTGCTTAGTTTCTCAGCCCTCTCTTTTGCCTAGTTAACTGGTCACAGCCACCAACTCACCTACCTGAGAGGCATGTGGGCAGATTATTGTACATGGAAATGTCACCCCAGGTTATGCAGAGGTTGGGGGCAGGGGTACCCTTTCATGTCCTCAGGCCATCGAACGCCTTTTATTGGAAGAAGTACAAAGTGCCTGTTGCATAGAACACTGAGGTCCAGTGTTTATTTTGAGAAAAGGAGGGTTGGGTTAGAGACACAAGACCTGGGGTGGAAGACTTAACCAGTTGTGACTCTGTTGCAGCTCCGGTGACCAATCAGCCAGTGACCCCCAAGGCCCTCACTGCAGGACAGAACCGACCCCACCCGCCACACATCCCCAGCCATTTCCCTGAGTTTCCCGACCCCCACACCTACATCAAAACTCCGGTGAGTGACAAGGCCATGCTAGAGGCTGTGACTGATGTAAAAGCAGACTCAGTTCTACCTGGCTGTCAGACTGGAGTCCAGAAGTTTGTTGGTAACAGGGTAGTTCAGAACTTGGAATGTCTCTCCTCAAAAATGTCTCCAATATGGCAAAGGAGAATTATCTTCTCTACTTTGCTGGCAAAAATAGAGTTAATGAAGAAATTGGAGCTGGCACAATTTTGCCTGTCCCATCCAGACACAAAAGTCAGTTCAGTTGCTCAGTCATGTCTGACTCTTTGCGACCCCATGGACTGCAGCACGCCAGGCTTTCCTGTCCATCACCAACTCCCAGAGCTTGCTCAAACTCGCGTCCATCAAGTTGGTGATGCCATCCAACCATCTCAACTTCTGTCGTTCCTTTCTCCCTCTGGCTTCAATCTTTCCCAACATCAGGGTCTTTTCCAGTGAGTCAGTTCTTCGCATCAGGTGGCCAAAGTATTGGAGTTTCAGCTTCAGCGTCAGTCCTTCCAATGAACATCCAGGACTGATCTCCTTTAGGATGGACTGGTTGTATCTCCTTGCAGTCCAAGGGACTCTCAAGAGTCTTCTCCAACACCATAGTTCAAAAGCATCAATTCTTGGGCACTCAGCTTTCAAAAACAAACTCTCACATCCATACATGACTATTGGAAAAACCATAGCTTTGACTAGACGGACCTTTGTTGGCAAAGTAATGTCTCTGCTTTTTCATATGCTGTCTAGGTTGCTCCTAGCTTTTTTTCCAAGGAGCAACCGTCTTTTAATTTCATGGCTATAATCACCATCTGCAGTGATTTTGGAGCCCCCCCAAAGTAAAAGTCTGACACTGTTTCCACTGTTTCCCCATCTATTTGCCATGAAGTGATGGGACCAGATGCCATGATCTTAGTTTACTGAATGTTGAGTTTTAAGCCAACTTTTTCATTCTCCTCTTTCACTTTCATTAAGAGGCTCTTTAGTTCCTCTTTGCTCTCTGCCATAAGGGTGGTGTCATCTGCATATCTGAGGTTTATTGCTATTTCTCCCGGCAATCTTGATTCCAGGTTGTGCTTCATCCAGCCTGGCGTTTCACATGATGTATTCTGCATATAATTTAAATAAACAGGGTGACAGTATACAGCCTTAATATGCTCCTTTCCCAATTTGGAACCAGTTTTTTGTTCCATGTCTGGTTCTAACTGTTGCTTCTTGACCTGCATACAGATTTCTCAGGAGGCAGGTCAGGTGGTCTGCTAGTCCCATCTCTTGAAGAATTTTCCACAGTTCATTGTGATCCACACAGTCAAAGGCTTTGTCATAGTCAATAAAGCAGAAGTAGGTATTTTTCTGGAACTCTCTTACATTTTCAATTACCCAACAGATGTTGAGAATTTGATCTCTGGTTCCTCTGCCTTTTCTAAATCCAGCTTAAATATCTGGAAGGTCACGGTTCACATACTGTTGAAGCCTGGCTTGGAGAATTTTAAGCTTTACTTTGCTAGCCTGTGAGATGAGTGCAGTTGTGCAATAGTTTGAGCATCTTTGGCATTGCCTTTCTTTGGGATTGGAATGAAAACTGATCTTTTCCAGGCCTGTGTCCACTGCCAAGTTTTCCAGATTTGCTGGCATACTGAGTATAGTACTTTCACAGCATCATCTTTTAGGATTTGAAATAGCTCAACTGGAATTCCATCATCTCCACTAGCTTTGTTCATAGCGATGCTTGCTAAGGCCCACTTGACTTCACATTCCAGGATGTCTGGCTCTAGGTGAAGGATCATACCATTGTGGTTATCTGGGTCTTGAAGATCGTTTTTGTATAGCTCTTCTGTGTATTCTTGCCATCACTTCTTAATATTTTCTAGATACAAAAGTACCTAGCCACATAAAGAAAAGACCCATTCCACAAAACATTGGTAGTAATTCTTGGTTAGAGTATAGCTAACTGTTGTTTTGTGTATGCTTTTCTGGGTTTTCCAAATTTTCCATAATCAGTAAGAGTTATTTTGAAATCAGGGTAAAAGTTACTTAAAACATACTTGGTGGGACTTCCTTGGTGGTCCAGTGGTTAAGACCACTCTTCCACTGCAGGGGCATGAATTCGATCCCAGGTCGGGGAACTAAGATCCTGCATGCCATGTGGCACAGCCAAAAAAAACTTGGTAATATGAAATGTAACTTATCATAGGAGAAGGCAGTGGCAACTCACTCCAGTACTCTTGCCTGGAAAATCTCATGGACGGAGGAGCCGAGCCTCGTAGGCTGCAGTCCATGGGGTCACTAAGAGTCAGACACAACTGAGTGACTTCACTTTCACTTTTCACTTTCATGCCTTGGAGAAGGAAATGGCAACCCACTCTAGTGTTCTTGCCTGGAGAATCCCAGGGATGGCGGAGCCTGGTGGGCTGCCGTCTATGGGGTCGCACCAAGTTGGACACGACTGAAGCTTCAAAGCAGCATCAACTTAACCATAACTGTGAGCTTTGGGTCTATATGGGACAAGTATAGTTTTCCTCTGTGGTTTGATATGTCCTAATTTGCCTTCTAGTAATTTCTCCTTCCCTTAGAAGGCACATGGTGTCCAGGAGTCTCCAGAGGCTGTTCTGCTCATTTCCTGTGTCGCCATGTCCTGGTGCAAATATGGCCGCAATGCGGGGTTAGAGCAAGTCATCCAGGAGATTTTTCCACACCTCAAGATATGAGGGCAAAGGAGCAAGTAGTCACCCACCACTGCAAGCACAGACATTGCCCTTGACCAGTGGTTTCTGTATGAGTGTCCTAGGGCTGCTGTAACAAAGTGCCACAAACTAGGTAGCTCAGAACAACAGAAATGCATTGTCTTACAGTCCAGAGGCCAGAAGTTCAAAATCGAGGTGTCAGCAGGCTCCCTCTGAAATCTCTTCTCAGCCTCTGGTGGCTTCAGGCAGTTCATGGGGTCCTTTGGCTTGTAGATGCATTACTCCAATCTTCCTTCCTCATGTGGCCCTCTCTCTGTATCTCTGCCTTCATGTGACAGCTTCTGTTAAGGATACCAGTCATGTGGCTTTGTACTGCCCTACTGCATGACACCTCATGTTCACTGAGTGCATCTTGCCCTGACCCTACTTCCAAATACTGTAAGATCATATTCTGAGGCCCTCGAGGTTGGACTAAGAGTCAGACACAACTGAGTGACTTCACTTTCACTTTTCACTTTCATGCCTTGGAGAAGGAAATGGCAACCCACTCTAGTGTTCTTGCCTGGAGAATCCCAGGGATGGCGGAGCCTGGTGGGCTGCCGTCTATGGGGTCGCACCAAGTTGGACACGACTGAAGCTTCAAAGCAGCATCAACTTAACCATAACTGTGAGCTTTGGGTCTATATGGGACAAGTATAGTTTTCCTCTGTGGTTTGATATGTCCTAATTTGCCTTCTAGTAATTTCTCCTTCCCTTAGAAGGCACATGGTGTCCAGGAGTCTCCAGAGGCTGTTCTGCTCATTTCCTGTGTCGCCATGTCCTGGTGCAAATATGGCCGCAATGCGGGGTTAGAGCAAGTCATCCAGGAGATTTTTCCACACCTCAAGATATGAGGGCAAAGGAGCAAGTAGTCACCCACCACTGCAAGCACAGACATTGCCCTTGACCAGTGGTTTCTGTATGAGTGTCCTAGGGCTGCTGTAACAAAGTGCCACAAACTAGGTAGCTCAGAACAACAGAAATGCATTGTTTTATAGTCCAGAGGCCAGAAGTTCAAAATCGAGGTGTCAGCAGGCTCCCTCTGAAATCTCTTCTCAGCCTCTGGTGGCTTCAGGCAGTTCATGGGGTCCTTTGGCTTGTAGATGCATTACTCCAATCTTCCTTCCTCATGTGGCCCTCTCTCTGTATCTCTGCCTTCATGTGACAGCTTCTGTTAAGGATACCAGTCATGTGGCTTTGTACTGCCCTACTGCATGACACCTCATGTTCACTGAGTGCATCTTGCCCTGACCCTACTTCCAAATACTGTAAGATCATATTCTGAGGCCCTCGAGGTTGGGACTTCGACACATCTTTCTTTAGAGAGCCACAATCAACCCACAGCAATCTCACTCTCTCTCTTTTTTTTAACATTTATTTATTTATTTGGCTGCACCAAGGCCTAGGGATCTTTAATTGTGGCATTCGAACTCTTAGCTGCAACATGAAGGATCTAGTTCCCTAACCAGGGATCAAACCCAGGCCTCCTGCATTGGGAGCGCAGTCTTAGTCCCAGGACTACTAGGGAAGTCCCTGTCTTAACTCTTCCATAGTGCATCTCTGTCAGTAAAAGTATTAAATGCTCCATTATTTGTTTGCTTATTTACGTGCATGTTATAATGTAATTCCATATAAAAACAATGTACATTGGAAGATCATCTGACCCTTATTCAAGGTTAGGGAAACCTGTTGGTTCCTTTTTAGTGGCAACTACATGATAGCCTGTGCTCTTGCATTTTTTGAAATCTTGGTTTAAATCTTGGTGGAATATGAAGTCACAGGTCTGATTCTAGGTTCTGTTTATTTTGAAACTTTGACAGCTCTCATAGTTGAAAAAGATACATTACAAAGATAGGTGACATCTTAAACTGTCCTTAATAAACCATAAAAGTAATTTTTTTTCATTCTCATCTACCAATTATTTGAAGAACTTTGTTAATTAAATTTCTAACTTTTATAATAAATGTCAAGCAATTGTCTTAAAAATAATCGTAAGATCTTGCTTTTTAATGTTTTTAACCAGAGTGTTCAGGATTTCATCAAATTCTTCATTTGGGGAAGATTTCAAACATGTCAGATAATCTTGTCATCACATTACATCAAGGGTCCCGGGTGGTCCCATCAGGGCTTGCAGGGGATTGGGAGGTGAGGATTCCCCACTCTCCCTTGAGGATACATTTCTTATGCCTGAGTCCAGCTGTCACGGGAGCTAAATGAAGGCCTAGGATCAATCACTATATAAATATTTGTACATTTCTTAATTTTTAAGATTCAAAGTAAATGTTAATGATAGTCTTACTGTTTTCTTTCGGCCCTTCCACTGTCCTTGGAGATCTCTGCTTTGGGTGATGGTAGAGGGTCATTTAAAGGGCGGGAGGACAGAGCAACAGCAAGGCAGAGACCCGAGGAGAGCAGTACAATCATGGGGATTTCTCTAGCGTCTTTGCTGCTCTCCCTTTAGACGTACCGCGAGCCCGTGTCAGACTACCAGGTCCTGCGGGAGAAGGCCGCGTCCCAGAGACGCGACGTGGAGCGGGCGCTCACCCGTTTCATGGCCAAGACAGGCGAGACCCAGAGTCTTTTCAAAGATGACGTCAGCACGTTTCCACGTGAGTCTCTCCCCTCTGTGGACCCTGCCTTGTCCTTGAGGCGATCATCCCCTCTTCCCTCCCTCATTGTGGTTGGAAGAAACAAGTAAGCTTTGTCCTTATCTTGGGTGGAACTTGTTCTTCAGATTTCTGGCTCTTTTTTCCAGATCTTTCGGGCCTGTCCCTAACTGATGACTCCAAAATAGTCATGACCTGTGTTGGAAGTGGGCGCTTGAGGTTCGTGGAATTGAGGTCACCTCGAGGGTGACTGAGCCCTGGGCATCAGAGAGGCTCATCCAGTGAGAGGGCAGCCCTGGTGGTAGAAGGACCTGGCATCAGGGGCCAGGCAGTTACAGAGCCTCTGCCAGGCTTCGCCTTCGTGGTGTCCTCTCACAGGGCCCACCACTGAATTTCTCATCTCAGCACTACCATTTCGCTGGGTGCATAACCCCTCCATTCCTCAAGACCAGTTCCCTCCTGTCCATCAGCCTCAGGGTCTCCCTAGGGGAGCGAGGGTGATGGGCTTGGAGGGTTCAGCAGGCTCCTGGTGGATCCTCACTGTATTCCTGGCCCTAGATCTACAGCAGCTAGGTTACTGAGTCCAGAAACTGTGCTGATCACTTCCCTTCTGTTACCTCATGAGCTCCTTGAGTGAGCCTCTGAGTCAGGAACTATTTCCACTGCCCTTCCAGGAAGTTAAGGCTTCTAGACAAAAGCAACAGAGTAATTTGCCGAAGATCACATGGCGAGTAGATGGTATTCAGACCTAGTTCTCTCTGTGTGCAGGACCCACATCTGAGCCATGCTGAAAATAATCTTCCAAGTGTCTGTTGTTAATGACATTCTACCATGGATATATACACAGACTCTCTCCATTTTTTTTTTTAAACAATAATTTCTCCTCCTCGGCCTCATTGCTTTTTAGAGGAATTGGATCGCTCCTTTACCTGAACTGCCTTCTAGCTCCATGGATATACTTCCAGGCTGAGAGTTCTCAGTTCCACTGTCAGGATTTGAGTCCTTGCCTTGGGTATAAGATCACTAAGCTGATGCTTCGCTTGAATTCAGCCCCAGTCCTCTCTGATGCTTGGTAAAAGAGGCTCTGAAGTCATATCGCCTGGGTTCATTCCCACTCTGCCACTTCCTGTGTGTTTGAGGGGGTCGCATAACCCCTCAATTCCTCAGGTTCCCTGTCTGTAAGATGAGGCTGGTAGCTATAGTTGTTTAATATGGTGGAGACGAGGATTAAAGGTAACGCGTAAGTGTTACCTGGCCCGCGGTGAGTGCCCGAGCATGTTAGCTATCCCTGCCGCTCAGTGCTGCTCGCTGATCTGTTGTAAGGCTCCCGGCCTCTCTTCCAACCCCCCAGTGATCGCTGCCAGGCCTTTCACCATCCCCTACCTGACGGCTCTTCTTCCGTCCGAGCTGGAGATGCAGCAGATGGAGGAGACGGATTCCTCGGAGCAGGACGAGCAGACGGACACAGAGAACCTCCCTCTTCACATCAGCCCGGTGGGTCCAGCCTTCTGTCTGCTTCAGCGCACCCCCCACCCCCACCCCCTGCAGTAGCCCGTGCTGCTCACTGTCTCCCCGGGGGTTGGACAGGACCCCCTCAGTCTCTGGCCTCTTGTGAGGGACTTGCATGATGGGCCTGTGGTGACGTGATCTCTCGTTCCCTGGGGATTCGTTCAGTCATCCAGCAAATACTGAATGAGCCCCTGCCAGAGTCAGGCATGTGTTGGGTGCTGGGAAATTAGCAGAAAGCAAAATAGACAAAACGTCCTGTCCTCACGGAACTAAGGAAAAATGAGACGTTAGGGGACAGGAGTAGGTATGGGCCTGGGTGGTGTGGTATTAGACAGGGTGAGTAAGAAGGTGACAGGTGAGCAAAGGCCTGAGGGAGCGAGGCTGCACATATCTGGGAGGGGAGCCTTCCCCGCAGAGGGAACGGCAGATACGAAGGCCCCCAGGTGGGAGCCGCTGTGTTGAAGAAGGGCAGAGGCCATGGAGGTGACCAGGGGATGCGAGTAAGAGGGCAGCAGCAGGGGCCGGAGTCAGGGAGCTCCCGGGGCTCAGGTCCTCACGGGACACCAGCACTTGGGCTTTTTGTCAGTGAGATGGGAGCCGCGGGACCCGCTAAGCAGCGGTGGGTCTCGGGATCGGTGAGGTGGTGAGGTTGTCGAGGTGGACTGCACAGGGTGAGGGCCGAGCAGAGAGACCGGTCGGGAGGCTGGTGCAGGAAACAGAGATGGTGGTAGAGGGAAAGACGTGGTCAGGTAGATGATTTGGTCAAATTCTAGATAATTTTCAGAAAAGAACCAACTGATGGAGTGGATGTGAGATGTGAGAGAAAGAGAGTCAAAGACAAACGCAAGGTTTTTTGCCTGAACAGTAGGGAAGAGGGAGTTGCCTCCAGCCAAGAAAGGGGAGGTTTTTGGGTGGAACAGGGGTCGGGGGAGACCAGGAGTTGAGGTGTACTGAGGTAAGTTTGAGATGCTTGTTAGACATCCGGGTGGTGAAATCAGGTGGGGGCCTCCCTAGTGGCTCATGGTAAAGAATCCTCCTGCCAGTGTAGGAGCTGCCAGAGACACAGGTTTGATCCCTGGGTTGGGAAGATCCCCTGGAGAAGGAAATGGCAACCTACTCCAGTATTCTCACCCGGATAATCCATGAACAGAGGAGCCTGGTGGGCTACAGTTTGTGGGGTCACAAAGAGTCGTGGTGATGTCAGGTAGGAAGGTGGATTGGCAAGTTGGAGTTCAGGGAGCTGTTTGGGCTCAAAGTGCAAGTCTGGGAATCCTCAACATGTAGATAGTGCTGAAAACCACGAGAGATCAGGTGAGCACCTAGGGAGCAATGAGGATAAAAAAGAGAAGTACCAGGAGTGAGCCTGGGGCTCTGCACCATTCAGCAGGTAAGGAGACAAGGAACCGGCCACGGATGTGAAGAAGGCACAGCAGGAAAGGTGGCGCGTCCTGGAGGCCAAGGGAAGAAAGTGTCAGAAAAAGGAGAGTGATCCGCTTGATCTGCTCTCTCTGCACCTGCAGCTGGTTCCAGCCTGGTGAGGACCGAGACTTTGTCCCTTAGATCTGGCAACAGCCATTTCAGGAAGAATGAGAGCAAGTGAATTCAAAGAGAATGGGAGGAGAGAAATTGGAGTCAGTGAGTACAGACTTGTGTTGTCCTTCACAGTGGCCAGTAGTCCACAGGCAACTAAGTCTAAATTGATGTAAATTAAATATAACAAAAAATTCATTTCCTTAGTCACCCCAGCTACATTTCCATAGCCACCTATGACTCCTGACCCTGCTGGGCAGTGCAGATATGAACAGTTAAATCATCACAGAAAGTTCCATTAAATGTAGACCGTGGTTTCAAGGAATTTTGCTGTGATGGGAAGGTGAGAAATGGAGTGGTAACTAAAGGGAAAGAATTAAGGAGGTCAGAGAGGTGTAACAAGATGCCTGTGCTGATGGGAGTGATCTGGTAAAGTTGATTCAGGAGAGAAGAACATTTTGGAATGATGATCTTTGGTAGGGCAGGGAATCCAGTATCCAAAAGGAGGGGTTAGCCTAATTGTGGACTTTTCCGAGCCAGGGTAGGAGACAGAGTGTGGACAGAGACAAAGGTTGAGGAGGGGAGTATGCTTGTGGGAACTTGTGGGTGTTCCTTTCTGGTTATGATGTACTGTCCTCGGCAGGTAAGAGGGTAAGACCCACTCTTATTTATGCATCAGGGGAGAAAGTTCCAAGTAGAGGCCCAGACCTGCCAGAAGCTCTTAATGCCTTTAAGGCTTATTGGACCCTTAGAATGAGGTTGCTATACTCATCCATCCTTTAAAGCTGGCCTTGGCTTTTAAGCAAGGGATGGCTTAGTGGTCGTAACTAGACTGAGGGCTCTCAGGTGTGAGACCCCAGGTAGCAGCCCGCAGCCCCGGGATGCAGGTAGAGAGTGCCATTTCTGACTCTAGTATTTACTGATGGTCTCCCTGATCACATACCTCTTTAATGTTGAATTATTCCTTTCAGAATTAGGGCTGGTAGCCCATGGCTTTACGTAAAGCAGAGGAGCTTGTTATCCCACGCTTCTGTTTTGGACTCTGTTAAGTCGGTCTGAGATATGGTGATTGGGTCATGGACTAAGATGAGGTTCACCTTATGAGAAGGAGGAATCTTCTAAACAGACATCACAAACCCTTTGTAAGTAAGCTCAAGGGCTTGCAGTTGAGTTACCTAACACTCTGGGGAGTGACATAGGTGAGGCCATGGCGGTGAGTGCAGCGAGGCGGACTGGATGCCAGGAGCTGCCTGAGGACTCCTGGATCCCTGGAGGCCAAGCCAGACAGCAAAGAGTGAAAAGACCTGAGCCTTGAGATTCAGACTTGAGTTGGCTGCCAATCCAGACTGGGCTGCTTTCCTGCTAAGTGACGTTGGTTGCCTGATCCAGTATCTGAGTCTGTTTCCTCACAAATGGGAACACCTACTTCCAGGGGAAGTGAGGAGCCTGAGATAAAATCAGCTCATCTACGTTGGGTGCTTGGCATACGGCAGCCCATGGCACCCCTGCCCACCCCCTCCCCGCCCCTGTTGTATGGCCATGTGCTCTTCTGTACAGAATAGAGAAATAAAAAAACTTCAAGAGAAGGATTCCAGCACCAATTTATGGACAGTCAATTGGGCTTGTTATTTTGTTGGACTGGCCACAATCACACATTTGAAATCTGGAATGTACAAAAAGATGTGTGGTGACCGTCTTTCACTCTCCCTTTCCCACCTACAGAGCAGCCAGTGTCACCACTCTCTTGTGAATCCTTCTAGAGACTTTGTTTGAATTTATTTTTTGGCCACGCCGTGCAGCATGTGGGATCTTAGTTCTCCGAGCAGGGAGCAAACCTGTACTCCCTGCATTGGAAGCGTGGAATCTTAACCACTGGACCGCCGGGGAAGTCCTTAGAGATGCTTTTTTAATTGTTGTTTTGAACATACACAGCAAATCACAGTTTTACCCCTTGCTTCCTTCCCTTATGGAGCTACTTGGCGGTCATTCCACATCCTTGTATGCAGAGCTGTTCGCCCCTCCCCATAGTGCCCCCCTCTCGTTTGGACTTTACAAGCCAGTCCCCTGTGGACTCAGGTTGTTTCCTGTCTTTTGTGTTTACAGACGTTGTTAACAGTGAGTTCACTAACTGGTGTGTTAAAGTGTTCTTTTATCTCTGGAGGACGAAGCTCTCACGGACTGTTGCTAGGTAGTTCCTTTGTTGAGCTTGGTTCTGGTTTCTCTGTCCATGAACATGAAGGGGCTATTCATTTTAAATTAGTGTGTCAGATGATTATTTTCTCTTACATTTGAGCCAGCTGCCATCTGCAGGCAATCCCGGTGCCTCACCCTTTATCTTTTCTGAACAATGTACCATTCACTAATTCAACAAGGATTTATATAATACCTGGTAGGTGCCAGACATTGTTCTGGGTGCTGGGGGCACATCAGTGACCAGCACAAAGACGACAGCTGCCTCTTGGCAGCCCGTGTGTTGGCAGTGGGGGCTTGACCATGAAGCGTAGTATATAAATCCGTCACTGTATAGTATGTTAAAGATGAAAAGTGCTCTGGGTGGAGGTGGGGGGCCCTGAGTAGGGAAAGATCCAGGGTAAAGCGGGGAGGTTTCAGTTTTAAATAGGGTGCTCAGGGTCCACATCACAGGGAAGGTGACATCCGAGCCGTCCTGGAGGAGGTGAAGGATTGAGCCTTGGGCTCTCCGGGGCAGTGTCCTGGAAAGGGAACAGTAGGGAGGCAAGTGGGGCTGTGACTGAGGAAGGCGGGATGGGTGTGGGGGAGAGGGAGAGGTCAGGTCAGGAAGGGCCTTATGAGCAGTTTGAAGAGCTGTCTTCCCATGGGGTGAACTGGGAGTCATGAGAGGATGTGGGGAGGAGGAGGGGCAGGTCTGAGCTTCTCCAGGAGCACTGGCCGTGCTGGTGACCACAGGGCCGGCAGAGGATGGACTGTGACGGGATGGCCATTAGGAGGCGGCTGTCCATCTAGGTGGGAGACAGCAAGGGGTCCTACCAGGGGGTTCCACTACAGATAATGGAAGTAGATTCTGCGTGTACTCTGAAAGTAAGGCCAAGAAGTTTTCCTAACAGATTGGCTGGGGGATATATCAGAGGAAGAAAAAAAGCAGGCCTGACTGCAGATTTTGGGGCTTGGACCAATGGGGATGGAGTTGCCGTCACTGATGTCAGTGGGAGGAGCTGTTTGTGCTTGGGGTTCAGTTTCAGGCACATTGAATTTGAGATGCCCAGAGATGGCAGGTGGTCGAGTGACAGCGGCCATTCAGGAGAGGTGACAATCGGGAGGGTTCAAGTGGGAGATGTTGCTGTGGAAATGGTGTTGGAACCTGTGAGGCTGGAGGCAGCACCCTTGGGTGCCTGGGGTTCACACAGAGCATGCACATTGCCTGAGTCTGGCCTTTCTGGGCCCAAGTCACTCCTGGCACACCTTTTTACTCCCACCTCTTCTTTACAAATCTGTCAGTTTAGTACTTCTTCCTATTGCTGATGACAGCGTCCTCGGCTCTGCTGTCTTCTGACAGCGCCATCGCCTGCTTGAGGTCAGATCCTCTTTTACCTCAAGTTGCACAACAGCTGACCTGGTGGCTCAAATGGTAAAAAATCTGTCTGCAATGCCGGACACCCCGGTTTCATCCCTGGAGCAGGAAGGTCCCTTAGAGAAGGAAACAGCAACCTGCTCCAGTATTCTTGGCTGGAGAATCCCATGGACAGAGGAGCCTGGCGGGCTACAGTCCATGGGGTCGCAAAGAGTTGGACACGACTGAGCGACTAAAACACGTTAAAAGTACAGAACAGGAACCTCAGTGATGGAGCCTTCAGCCTGTCACCAGGGTTGCAGCCCAACCAGCAGCTTCTGGGCACTTACTGCCACCTGGGCCTGAGCCCTTCGTGTGGTTTCCCCCAACACCTCTCCTGCAGCTTCTGCTCATTTTAAAGAACTTGGAAAATAGAAGAGAGTGTAAAAAAGGAAAGGAAAATCAGTCAGCCATATTTCCAGAAGCAGTTTGTAAAACTTCAGTATCATTAATGTTTTCTATGTCTATATCCAACTGTGATTTTTAAAAAAATCTTCAAGATCATATTGACTGTACTCAAACTTAGAAACTTTTCTCCAAAAATCACTTTTCTCAAAAAATGAACAGTGAGAGGCCTGATCCACGGGCCACACGTGGGGGTGGTGGATGACATTCCCGTGTTGGTGCCTTCGTGGGAGCTCTCGGGGCTCCAGCAGTTTCTGGCCTCTGCCGGGATATGACCATTGGCACCATGTTGCAAGTACCAGATGCTTAAGAATTTGTGGGAAAGTAGATTATGATTTATATGAGGTTAGCTCCAGGAGGGGCTCTGTGCATACCATCTGTTCTGGTCCTGTACGTCTCAGTCCTGCAGGGGATTGAGGGCCTCTTCTTTCTCTCTCTTTAAGTTTTAAAAAGTATTATTTATTTATTTGATTGCGCTGGGGCTTCCTTGTGACACTCCGGATCTCTGATCTTTGTTGTGGCATGTGGATTCTAGTTCCCTGACCAGAGATTGCACCTGAGCCCCTGCCTTGGGAGCGAGAAGTCTTAGCCACCGGGCCACCAGGGAAGTCCCACTTCTCTTTTACTTCATCTCCCCACAGGCTGAAGCATTCCTCCCTGAAGCATCTGACTTGTGGTCCCTGACTCCCTGCCCCCCAGGTCTCTGTTCCCTTCCGACTCCTGTCCCTGCCTTCTCGGGGGTCTTGTGTTCTGTGCTCCACTGTGTCACCGCTGGTGCTCCCGCCTTCCTCTGATCTCAGCCGCTGCCTGGCCTCCTCTGGAGCAGAGAGAGGCACTTTAGCCCGGCTTCTGATTTCTCAGTGAGAGGCGTGCTTGTAGTAGTTCTTAACCACAGGCATGATCTCTTTCCTCACGCTGCTGGTTGTTTTGCTTTATTTCGGCTTTTGCTCAAAGGATGATTCTGGAGCCGAGAAGGAGAACACCTCTGTTCTGCAGCAGAACCCCTCCTTGTCAGGGAGCCGAAACGGGGAGGAGAGTATCATCGATAACCCCTATCTGCGGCCCGTGAAGAAACCCAAGATCCGCAGGAAGAAGTGAGTTGGAGGCTGGGGTGCAGAGAGGCCTCCCTGGCCAACCAAGGTGGTCTTCTCTGCTCCTGGGCAGAAAAGAGAGGCTCACGGTGGGTCTGAGCCTTGGGCAGAGCTACTTGGTGAGAGGAAATGTTTCCCCCCCCTTCCTCTCCAGCCTCGTCTCCTGCATGTACCTCTTTCTTGTTGCATGGACGTTGAGCATCCTGCAGCCCAGGGACCAGCCCGCACAGCCCAGCAGTTTGTTCCCCTCACTAGAAGGAGAGCTAGCGGAGCCCCCACCAGCTGGGCTCCAAGGATTCCTCTTCTTTCTAGGTCCCTCTCCTGAGCCGAGAAGGAAGCCTGCCTTGTACAGAAATGTGGATGCCACCCTCCTTGGCGAGTTAAAGCCTCTCGAGGGAAGAGGAAGGTGGTCGTCTTGGGGTCGAGCTGAGGCTGTGGGGTGTGAATCAGGCATGATTTTAATAGCCAACTCTGTATTACGATTACCTATTTTCACTGGATTTTGAGGTTGATGAAGAAATGAAATGATGAGACTTTTAATCAGCTGGCCATACCGTGGGGTACAGGAATGGTGAATTCATTTATAATCATGGAACTTGATTCTTTGAAACCTGGGAGACCAGAGAAGGTGGCAGAGAGAGAGGGCTCTCTGCCTGCTGTGCTTATTGCCAGAAAGACAGTGTGCTTAAAGTGTTTCAGGATATCTGGATCCTTTCATTGGCTGACGATTTGTGGCACCAGTTTACCATCCTAGAAACTCCTTATTTCTCTGCTCACCTGGGCTGCAAGCACCCTGTTGATTTGGTTGAAGGTGACTTGCTCTTCTTCAACATGTTGGAAGCAGGAGACTCACCCATTGCAGCCTCATTGTGGGGCCGGCAGGAGTCAGGAGGCGTGAGCAGATGCCTTCATGGGGAGGAGAATGGAAGACATCACTGACTCTCATCAGCATCTGATGAAATCTCCCTGAGGCAGGGCAGTGCCCTCTCCTGAGAGATTTATCATTTACTGTCCCATCATGGAGCATGTGCTTGGGAACGAACAAGTTCTGCACCATCCTGGGAAAAGAGGTTTTTCTTTGGCAAGAGCCTACATCAGTGGATGTATTATGCTATGATTTGATAGCAGAATCATTGATTTTTATACAATAGGAAAAGGATCGATGGGACTGGGAGGTGGCGGGGATGAGATTTTGAAGGCCAGGCTTGGCCGTATGGTCCAGAGGCTGAGAAACCTCGCGGGTCTGCTGGAGGCTGGCACGGATTGAAGGCCATGTTCCCACCTATGGCAGAAGTGGGCCAAGAAGAACCTGCACGTCTGAATCTACCCAGGCTCTTTGCCTCTTCATCCTTGATGTGCCTACAAACCAAGAAAGGAAGATGCTGGGCAAGCTGATACCTTTTTGACTGGTCTCCATAGGAAGAGGTTTTCAAACTAAGAGGAAGAGAATGCCAGTGAAACCTGGAAGTTAATACACGGAAAACACGAGACCCTGGGTAAAGTCCTTAGTCCATCCTGAGCTCTCCTGATACTCAGCCTCCACAGTCATCTCTTAGTCCTCCATCCTCTTGGTCGAATTTGAAAACTCAAAAAACCTGGTGACAGCAGGCAGCAGGCTCCATGTGCTGGCCTCGCTGTTCTCTAAACACTTCATCCCACTGGCTGGAAGGAAAGTGCTGCTATCAGTAACTGAACAAGGGAAGCGGAATGAGAAAATCGGATTCCCCAGCTCTGGACCAAATAAGAGTTTCCCCCATCTGTAGTGATCTGAAACCCTTCCAGTTATAGTTGTCAGATCGGGCCTGTGCTGACCCCTTCCAAGCTTGTTATTTGGCTCTTTGTTAAGTTTAAATACAGTCCCAGGGTTGAGCCATGGCAGGTACAGGGCTAAAATTCTACTTCCTGGAGTGGTCATCGTAGCAGTTTCTCCTGATACTTCCCAGACGAGCACCTGTTGATGCTGTAATGCTGAGGGATGAGGTGAACTTTGGAAAAGAATTGCCCTTCTGCTGTTGAGACTTCAGAGGCCAAGCTGCTCTAATTCTGCCCTGAACGAGACACTGGGAGATGCTCAGACAACCTGAAACATTGACCCAACTCTTACTGTGTAAAAACTGCATGATCCTCACTGTATATTTATAAATGTTTATTTTTTATAACTTAGGGAGAATGTGTGGAAGGAAAAGGTAGTCAATGACATTGGATTAAGCATGTGATTTATGAGCTCTCAATCAAAGGTCATAATAAGCTTTGTGAATGAAACAATTACAAGCATTGAACTCAAATTTGTGTGCAAAAGTTACAGCATCGAGTAAGACTGTGTAAGTTAGGCTTAGTACTTCTAAGCTGTTTAAAACTTTTTATTTGGGAAGTCTGCAAACACAAAACTAGTGTTTTCCCTGTGTATTCACCCAGCTTCAACATTTAGCAACATCTTTTCAATTCTGTTTCATCTATGTATTCTACTGTTTTATTTTTTTAATTCCTAGAATATATTTTAAAACAAACCTAAGAGCTGTATCATGTAATCTGTAAATATGTTGTTATGCATCTCTGATAGACTTTTTAAAGTTTTTTTTAAGGTAATTACAGATTGAGAGGATGTTACCTCCCCCAAAAAAAATGTTTTACAAGGGAGGTGCTACTAGTAGCATCTCAAATAACTAGTATAATGTCAAACCCAAGAAAATGACATTGGAATAATCCACAGAGCTTATCCAGATTTCACCTTTTTGTGTGTGTGTGTAATTCTATGTAATCATGTTGTGTAAATTCACAGTCAAGATGTCGAACATCAGGAAGCAGGCAAGGATAAACTGGGAGGTTGGAATTGACATACACACTTCTACAGATAAAAAAGATAGGACGCCCTTGGTGGTATAGTGGATAAGAATCCACCTGCCAATGCAGAGGACATGGGTTTGGCCCCTGGTCTGGGAAGTATCCACAGGCAGAGGAATAGCTAAGTCCATGTGCCAGAACAAGAGTAGCCTGAGCTCTGGAGCGTGCAAGCCACAACTGCTGAGCCCATGTGCGGCAACTGCTGAACCCCGCGCGCCTAGAGCCTGTGCTCCGCAACGAGAAGCTCGTGCACAGCGATGAAGACAGCCCCCTGCTCGCAGTAACTAGAGAAATCCTGCATGCAGCAACGGAGACCCAGTGTAACCAAAAAAAAAAAATCACCATAAAAGTTATAAAATAGATAACTAACAAGAACCTACTCTATAGCACAGGGAGCTCGACTCAATACTCTATAGTGACCTGTATGAGAAAAGAATCTAAAAAAGTGGATGTATGTATATGTATAACCAATTCACTTTGTTGTATGGCAGAAACTTAACACGACATTGTAAATCAACTTGCCCCAATAAAATTCTTTTAAAAATATAGAACATTCTCATAACCATGAAGTTCCTTCATATTGTCTCCTTATAACCGTATCCACCTCTCACATCTTCCCCATCCCTCCCCTCTGGCAACCACTGCTCTCCTTTCTCCATTTCTTTAATTTTATTTTTAAAATATCATAAGTGAAATTTTAAGGTTTGTAACCTTTTGAAATTGGCTTTTTCACTCAGCATAAGCAGCGAGAGCCATCAGGTGGTTGTGTGTCAGTAGCTCCTTTATTGCTGAGCAGTCTCCCAGCTTTGGATGTACCATGTTTGTTTAACCATTCGGCTGTTTCCAGTTTGGGGCTGTTATGGCTGAAGCAGCTGTGAACAGCTGTATATAGGTTTTTATGTAAACATAAATTTTCATTTCTCTACAATAAATGCCCAGTAATGCAACCACTGGGTCCTATGGTAACTGTATGTTTCATTAAAAAAAAAAAAAAACAACAACTATTCCAGAGTGTCCTGTATCATTTTGCCTTCCTACTGGCAATGTATGAATAAGCCAGTTTCTCCACATCCTCACTGGTATTTGATGTTATCATTTAAACAGTTTTTTTTAGCCATTCTGATAGGCATGTGATAATACTCATTGTGATCTTAATTTGCATCTCCCTGATGGCTAGATGTTGAACATGTTTCATGCAGTTTTTTTTGCTGTTTATCTTCTTTGGTTAGTTATCCATTTAAATCTTTTGTCCATTTTCTAACTGGATTGCTTCTTTGTTTTTAGATTTCTTTATATATTCTGGATAAAAGAACTTTGTCAGATATGTGGTTTGCAAATACTTTCCCCCACTCTGTAGCTGGCCTTTTCATTCACTTCACAGGGATCTTTTGGAGAGCAAAAGTTTTTAATTTTCATGAAATCCAATTTATTTTTTTCTTTTATAGATTGTTTCTGTTGACAGGCCTAAAACCTCTTTATTGAGTCCTAGGTCCTGAAGATCTTTTTCCATATGTTTTATGTTTTAGGCCTTGATCTGTTTTTTCTTTTTATTTTTTTATTGAAGCATAATTGCTTTACAGACTTGTTTTTTCTGTCAAACCTCAACATGAATTAGTCATAGGTATACATATATCCCCTCTGTTTTGAACCTCCCTCCCGTCTCTCACCCCATCCCACCCCTCTAGGTTGATACAGAGCCCCTGTTTGAGTTTCCTGAGCCATATTTTACATATGGTGATGTAAGTTTCCATGTTACTCTTTTCATACATCCCACCCTCTCCTCCCTTCTCTCCATGTCCGTAAGTCTATTCTCCATGTCTGTTTCTCCCTTGTTGCCCTGTAAATAAATTCTTATTTTTTTTGTCTTTAGATTCAACTGTATTTTTTTTTCCATTTATTTTTATTAGTTGGAGGCTAATTACTTTACAGTATTGTAGTGGCTTTTGCCATACATTGACATGAATCAGCCTTGGATTTATATGTATTCCCCATCCCGGTCCCCGCTCCCGCCTCCCTCCCCATCCCATCCCTCTGGGTCTTCCCAGTGCACCAGCCCTGAGCACTTGTCTCATGCATCCAACCTGGGCTGGCGATCTGTTTCACCCTTGATAGTATACTTCTTTCAATGCTGTTCTCTCAGAACATCCCACCCTCGCCTTCTCCCACAGAGGCCCCAAGTCTGTTCTGTACATCTGTGTCTCTTTTTCTGTTTTGCATATTGGGTTATCGTTACCATCTTTTTAAATTCCACATATATGCGTTAGTATACTGTATTGGTCTTTATCTTTCTGGCTTACTTCACTCTGTATAATGGGCTCCAGTTTCATCCATCTCATTAGAACTGATTCAAATGAATTCTTTTTAATGGCTGAGTAATATTCCAT